GTGTGTGTGTGTGTGTGTGTGTGTGTGTGTGTGTGTGTGTGTGTGAGAGAGAGAGAGTGTGTGTGAGAGTGTGTGTCTGTGTGAGTGTGAGTGTGTGTTTGTGTGAGCTTGAGTGTGGCCTAATGGCTTTTAGCTGATGGATCTTGTGGCTTTTTAAAAGGGCGAGTATTGACGTGAAGGCCACTTGAGAAGCGGGGCGACTGATGGGGTTTAAGTGGCTCTGAAGAGGCCACATATAAATAACACATACAAATAAACGTGACTTACTGATTTCTGTGCGTCAAACATCAGGCTGCGGTACAACTGCGCAAAATGACTATACGATACATCTCCGTTCCTCAGCTCTCCATCCTAACCAAGATATTACATGAAAAACATATAATGTATAACAGAGATTATAAAGTGAACTATTAATTCTGCAGTGGTCTGAATGAAGGTGCATGCAGAAGTGTGTTTGTTACCGGAAGTTTCTCTCGTAAGAACCTCATATTGGGAACTCTGTAGTTGACCTGGCACAGCATACTCTTCAGATCCTTACAGGAAATTCTGCAAACGAACACAAAACAACATCAGCGTCAGGTTTACGAGGAAGCTCAGTACTGTTAGTGTTTTCTTCAGTCGGGTTAACTCCTCTCGTGTGCTTTTCAGAAAATAATGAAAACTTCTGAAAAAAAAAAAAAACTTTTAGCAATGTTAACGTAATAGATTTGTGACAAATGAGGACAAAATAACTTTGTATAACTTTGAATAAATTTGTATAATGACAAGGGTATGACATAGGTATTACAAGGAGAAGGTGACTTTTCAGGACATTACCCCATGTCCCCACTTTTCAAAACGCATATAAATCACACAGAATGGAGTGTATTGAATGAAAACTTCTGAAAAAAAAAAAAAACTTTTAGCAATGTTAACGTAATAGAAAGAATTACATGCATTAAAGTGGCCATTTGTTTTGTATACATATTCACATGTATGCAGGCTGCATTATCTGATCAAATATACATAAAAAGCAATAATATTGTCAATTATTATGACAATTTAAAATAGCTGTTTTCTGTGTGAATATATTGTAAAATGTAATTTATTGCTGTGATCAAAGCTGTATTTTCAGCAACATTACTCCAGTCTTCAGTGTCACATGATCCTTCAGAAATCATAATAATATACTGATTTATT